GAGGACACCTCACACCCCCACTCTAAGGGGAGAACACCTCACACCTCCACTCTAAGGGGAGGACACCTCACACCCCCCCCACTCTAAGGGGAGGACACCTCACACCCCCACTCTAAGGGGAGAACACCTCACACCCCCACTCTAAGGGGAGGACACCTCACACACCCCACACTCTAAGGGGAGGATACCTCACACCCCCCCCCACTTTAAGGGGAGGACACCTCACACCCCCACTCTGAGGGGAGGACACCTCACCCCCCCACTCTAAGGGGAGGACACCTCACACACCCCACTCTAAGGGGAGGACACCTCACACACCCCACTCTAAGGGGAGGACACCTCACACACCCCACTCTAAGGGGAGGACACCTCACACACCCCACTCTAAGGGGAGAACACCTCACCCCCCCCCCACTCTAAGGGGAGGACACGCCACCCCCCCCTAGAGAGGCCACCGTGGTAGGTAAGGATGGTAAACCAATGTATACTACGCACGCCACTGAACTACTCTCTCTCTCTACAGCAACTTACCACCAGTCTTACGATCAGTATGACGACTTGACTCTTAAACCCGAAGGAACCCAGTACAAAGTTGGCATTACGCTCCAGTCTTCCAACTTGAGGTGGGGGGGGGGGGGCATACGCACTCGCACTCACGCAAGTATACTTTGTATACCAAGTCTGAACGTTGGCGAGGTAGCGAAGGTAAACCACCGAGCAAGAGAAGATAATAATATGGTATTCCCTCCACCGAGGACACCTTAGGGAACCAGAGGAATGAGGGGGGACACTAGATCACTCAGGTAATGGTTGGGCAAAGATTAAGAGTGTGGTGTTTTTTTTATTATTATTATTATTATTTTCTACCACAGACGTGGCCACACAGTTACAATGCTAACCAGCATATATATACATTTTCTTCTGTCCTCCATGGACAGGGTTAGAGATGTGACATATCTGTAAGACATATAGTTCAAGGGTTTATTGAACAATCCCGTGCCTGGTACGGGGTATTTAACGTACAGGTATGAGACAAGGGGATGAAGATGGAAGGAGTGAAGGAAGAAGTGAAGGAAGGAGGGTCAGAAGAGAGAGAGAGAAGGAGAGAGAAGAGAGAGGGAAGGAGCGAACAGCACATGACAAGCGCCACACAGAGGAAATAATTAACACTCCAGTTAAAAATGCAAGATGAAACGCCAGCTGATTACAGGTAAGTTAATTAGGTAGTCCTGGGTGGTGTTCGTGTGAGCGCCATCTTGGCTTCCCAGGAGCAGAAGCCCCCTGAAGTGGGATCCATCCACGGGGTGACGACCCAGAGATCCGGACAACACCTGATGCTCTTCTCATTTTTGGGGGGAGCTTCTCTGTAGCTAGCAATTGCCTTCCCTGCCTCTAGTTGCCGCTACAGGGCGCCGTCCCCCCCAATAGTACTCGGGGAACACCTCGCTCACACACTCCAGTGCCAGCCTGTACTCCTCCAGGCTTACAGTCCACTGGTTTACTATCTCTAGTCTCAGAATTATGACACACCTATCCCCAGGAGAGAGAAGAGAAGAGACGACCGGGCCGCGGGGACGCTAAGCCCCGGAAGCACCTCAAGGTAACCTCAAGGTAGGCCAACTCTCCCAACTCCTGCCATCCAGTCTTATCCTCAGTCCTCCAGTCCTGCCTCCAGTTCGACTCCCAGCCTGCTTGATACCTGCTTGATGGGGTTCTGGGAGTTCTTCTACTCCCCAAGCCCGGCCCGAGGCCAGGCTTGACTTGTGAGAGTTTGGTCCACCAGGCTGTTGCTTGGAGCGGCCCGCAGGCCCACATACCCACCACAGCCCGGCTGATCCGGAACTTCTCTTAGAAAACAGCCCTCCAGTTCGACTCCCAGCCCTCCAGTTCGACTCCCAGCCCTCCAGTTCGACTCCCAGCCTTCCAGTTCGACTCCCAGCCCTCCAGTTCGACTCCCAGCCCTCCAGTTCGACTCCCAGCCCTCCAGTTCGACTCCCAGCTCGTCCCTAACACTAAAATCTACAAACAGATGTCAACAAACTCATTCAGCGGGTAACAGAAAATAGGCACAATTTTCAACACACCAAATTGCAGATACTTATAAACGGCGATATTAAAGAGCTCCAACGAACCCCAACAATCAGATATCCTCTCAGAAGGTAAACAAAAGGATCTTGGAAGAATAATGTCTTATAACCAGACGCTTAATGAGCACAACAAAGCAAATATACCACCCGGCAGGATACCTTGAGGTTACCTTGAGGTGCTTCCGGGGCTTAGCGTCCCCGCGGCCCGGTCGTCCCAGGATTACAAGAGGGCGACACACACCTTCAAATCCTGGGATTCCACCACAACTTTCATACTATTTAAATCACTTGTGTTTCTCCGTCTTGGGTGCTGCCCAATACTCACTTCCCCATTCAAGGCTGGAGATATTTATGAAACACACGGAATACAGAGAATACAGCATGTATACAGACTTATGCATCTAAATTACTACAATTTTACCAAAGCATTCAATTTATGCTTACACTTTGTAGAAAGAGGAAGAGAGTGTGTGTGTGTGTATAATATATATATATATATATATATATATATATATATATATATATATATATATATATATATATATATATATATATATATATATATACACACACACATACATATATTCCAGTTACTTGAAGGCCAAAGACCCAAATATACTAATAAAATCAATTAATGGAATCAAAGTTATGTTTGGCACATGCAACATTGACCCACTTGAAGAGTAGAGGTGCCAAAGGCACAACAGTGAGCAGTGTATGACCGGGAAAGGCCCTCGACTCTTCACAAGCTCCTCCCACCAAATATAAGCAGGAACAGAAGTATTGCAAGAGGCAAGTGGCCAAGTACCTGATGGAAGTGCCGGATCAACCGGGTTGTAGTGGAGTGCAACAGCCTTTCAAATTAATTTACCAAGAGATATGCATGTCCCCCTCCCCCTCCCCCTCCCTTCCCATATCCTTCCCACAGGCGAGCTTGGAGAGTAGAACAATATTTTCCGTCCCACAACAGGTTAGCTACTCCCACACAGACACACACACACACACTAACAGACACACACACACACACTAACACATACACATACACACACATCCACACAGGCGGGGCGGGTCCAAGAGCTAATAGCTCGGTTCCGCAGACACAAATAGTAAATACACACACAAACACACACGTGGTGGAGGCCAAGACCGTCAGTAGCTTCAAAGCGTTATATGACAAAGAGTGTTGGGAAGACGGGACAACACGAGCGTAGCTCTCATCCTGTAACTACACTTAGGAAATTACACACACACACACACACACACACACACACACACACACACACACACACACACACACACACACACACACACACACACACACACCCCACCCCCCTATAAACACAGAGAAGGAAAAAAAAATGTGACAATTGAAAGGGTCCTCCACACCGTAAAGGCTCTCAAGGAATTTCTTCAACCAGTTAGATAATATGTACAACAGTGGTCCAGATGAAGCAGAGCTCTAGTGAGCCTAGCGATGGTTCCCCGGGCCTCGGGGCCGCTCTACGACCCACAGAACCTGTAGTAAACAGGTTTTCTACGATTTAGCTTCCAACGGTCTGTAACGAAATGAAGATGAAGCAGATGCAAAGATTAAGAACACTTCGTTTTCATTTATTAAAAAAAAAAAGGAACAGCAACATATATTGTTACTTATCGTTCACAGACTTTGAGAAATGATTAGGAAGTAGGTCTTTTAATCAACTTTTGAACCCCCCCCCCCATCACATCACCTCTCCTACCTCCCCCCCCACCCCCCAGGCGGAGGCTTGATACAGGAGACCCTTGTTCTCGTCAGTAGGGAGAGATCACTGTAGGAAGGAAGAGTAGGAGGGGAGAGCGAGGGAAAGAGGGAGGGAAAGGCAAGGAAGGGGAAATATAGATGGTGGGAAAAGGGTGAGGGGGTGGGGAAAAGGGTGAGGGGGTGGGGAAAGAGTGAGGGGGAGAGGAGGGAAAGAGAGAGAGGGGAGAGATGTGGGTGAGCACAAGGAGACAATGAAGGTGTCTCCAAGACCCTGAACGCCCTTTTGCTGGAGTTAAGATCAAACTCTGCGACAATGACGCCGGTGTGCGTGGGTAGCAAGCCCTCTTCTGTGGCTCCCTTCATCACCATCATCATCATCATCACCATCATCACCATCACCATCATCACCATCATCATCATCACCACCATCATCATCATCACCATCATCATCATCATCACCATCATCATCATCACCATCATCATCATCATCACCACTATCATCATCACCATCACCATCATCACCATCATCATCACCATCATCACCATCATCATCATCATCACCACCATCATCATCACCATCAGCATCACTATCATCATCACCATCATCATCATCATCATCACCATCAGCATCACCATCATCACCATCATCATCACTATCATCACCATCATCTATCTTGGGAAGGAAGTCTGAGAACCCCACAAACACCTGGGCCAGTATTAATCAACCCTGGGACCCAACCACGAGCGAAACCTATACATCTCGACTCAATAAATGGCGGTTTTGTTTACAGTCACCAAACAGTTTATCAGCTGTTTATCAGTCGTAAACTGTCTTATTAAATGCAAAACAAACCCGCCACGATTAAGGACAGATGTAGAGGCTTCGTTGGTGCTAGTAAGTAGCGATACGAGGCTTTGATAAGTAGGTTTTCCCTACTTAATTAAGTTCAGACGAGGCACTTCTACACACCTCCCGGAGGTACATGCAGTAATTGAGGGTGCTGGAGACGTCTTATTTGAGACTGAGTGAAGACCAGACAATAACAATACATATAATATCTATTCACTTCACGGGCTCACCATAGCCCGTGCTACTTGGAACTTTTTGTTCCAAGTAGCAAATCTTAAACACTAATATCTATTCACTTGACTAATGATGGGGCCTCGCTGCGATGGGGGGTGACAGGACGCATTGGCAAGTTATGTATTGGAGTGAGTTGAGGTCACAGTCACAACGACCAGGAACACAGTCACAACGACCAGGAACAGTCACAACGACCAAGAACAGTCACAACGACCAAGAACAGTCACAACGACCAAGAACACAGTCACAACGACCAAGACCACAGTCACAACGACCAAGAACACAGTTACAACGACCAAGAACACAGTCACAACGACCAAGAACAGTCACAATGACCAAGAACACAGTTACAACGACCAAGAACAGTCACAACGACCAAGAACACAGTCACAACGACCAGGAACACAGTCACAACGACCAGGAACACAGTCACAACGACCAGGAACACAGTCACAACGACCAGGAACACAGTCACAACGACCAGGAACACAGTCACAACGACCAAGAACACAGTCACAACGACCAAGAACACAGTCACAACGACCAAGAACAGTCACAACGACCAAGAACACAGTCACAACGACCAAGAACACAGTCACAACGACCAAGAACACAGTCACAACGACCAAGAACAGTCACAACGACCAAGAACACAGTTACAACGACCAAGAACAGTTTACAACGACCAAGAACAGTCACAACGACCAAGAACACAGTTACAACGACCAAGAACACAGTCACAACGACCAAGAACAGTCACAACGACCAAGAACACAGTTACAACGACCAAGAACACAGTCACAATGACCAAGAACAGTCACAACGACCAAGAACAGTCACAACGACCAAGAACACAGTCACAACGACCAAGAACACAGTCACAACGACCAAGAACACAGTCACAACGACCAAGAACACAGTCACAACGACCAAGAACACAGTCACAACGACCAAGAACACAGTCACAACGACCAAGAACACAGTTACAACGACCAAGAACACAGTCACAACGACCAAGAACAGTCACAACGACCAAGAACACAGTCACAACGACCAAGGACACAGTCACAACGACCAAGAACACAGTCACAACGACCAAGAACACAGTCACAACGACCAAGAACACAGTCACAACGACCAAGAACACAGTCACAACGACCAAGAACACAGTTACAACGACCAAGAACACAGTCACAACAACCAGGAACACAGTCACAACGACCAAGAACACAGTCACAACGACCAAGAACACAGTTACAACGACCAAGAACACAGTCACAACAACCAGGAACACAGTTACAACGACCAAGAACACAGTCACAACAACCAGGAACACAGTTACAACGACCAAGAACACAGTCACAACGACCAAGAACACAGTCACAACGACCAAGAACACAGTCACAACGACCAAGAACACAGTCACAACGACCAAGAACACAGTCACAACAACCAGGAACACAGTCACAACGACCAAGAACAGTCACAACGACCAAGAACACAGTCACAACGACCAAGAACAGTCACAACGACCAAGAACAGTCACAACGACCAAGGGGCCTTGACCGCCCGCCTGCATTAACCTTCTATCCAATAACATATATTTGTGATGCGGACGTCGGAAATGGACTGAAGACACTGAGATTAGCATCGTTACCCGGCGCTGGTTCGAGGCTCTCACGTCTACCTTCACTCACGTCTGGCAACTGCTGCTAAGGAGCACCAACCAGAGGCTCCTCGTTAACTGCGACGCTGTTGGGTCCCTCTCGCTCGTTAGCTGGGAAGCTGTTGGCTTCCTCTCTCTCTCGTTAGCTGGGACACTGCAGGCTGCCTCTCGTTAGCTGCGACGCTGTTGGCTGCCTCTCTCTCGTTAGCTGGGACGCTGTTGGCTTCCTCTCTCTCGTTAGCTGGGACGCTGTTGGCTTCCTCTCCCTCGTTAGCTGGGACGCTGTTGGCTTCCTCTCCCTCGTTAGCTGGGACGCTGTTGGCTGCCTCTCTCTCGTTAGCTGCGACGCTGTTGGCTGCCTCTCTCTCGTTAGCTGGGACGCTGCTGGCTGCCTCTCTCTCGTTAGCTGGGACGCTGTTGGCTTCCTCTCTCTCGTTAGCTGGGACGCTGTTGGCTTCCTCTCTCTCGTTAGCTGGGACGCTGTTGGCTTCCTCTCTCTCGTTAGCTGGGATGCTGTTAGGTGCCTCTCGTTAGCTGCGACGCTGTTGGCTGCCTCTCTCTCGTTAGCTGGGACGCTGTTGGCTTCCTCTCTCGTTAGCTGGGACGCTGTTGGCTTCCTCTCTCTCGTTAGCTGGGACGCTGTTGGCTGCCTCTCTCTCGTTAGCTGGGACGCTGTTAGGCGCCTCTCGTTAGCTGCGACGCTGTTGGCTGCCTCTCTCTCGTTAGCTGGCACACCTGAGACAGATGTGTCATCTCAGGTCACTCAGCATCCTGCCACATGACACACCTGAGACAGGTGTGTCATCTCAGGTCACTCAGCATCCTCCCACATGACACACCTGACTCAGGTGTGTCATCTCAGGTCACTCAGCATCCTGCCACATGACACACCTGAGACAGGTGTGTCATCCCAGGTCACTCAGCATCCTCCCACATGACACACCTGAGACAGGTGAGTCATCTCAGGTCACTCAGCATCCTGCCACATGACACACCTGAGACAGGTGTGTCATCCCAGGTCACTCAGCATCCTCCCACATGACACACCTGAGACAGGTGTGTCATCCCAGGTCACTCAGCATCCTCCCACATGACACACCTGAGACAGGTGTGTCATCCCAGGTCACTCAGCATCCTGCCACATGACACACCTGAGACAGGTGTGTCATCCCAGGTCACTCAGCATCCTCCCACATGACACACCTGAGACAGGTGTGTCATCTCAGGTCACTCTGCATCCTCCCACATGACACACCTGAGACAGGTGTGTCATCCCAGGTCACTCAGCATCCTGCCACATGACACACCTGAGACAGGTGTGTCATCCCAGGTCACTCAGCATCCTCCCACATGACACACCTGAGACAGGTGTGTCATCTCAGGTCACTCAGCATCCTCCCACATGATACGAAGCATCAGCCGCAGACGACGGAAAATTCGAACATTGAACCAGGGACCAGACTGCCTCCACTCCTCTTAAAGTTGTAGGACGGAGACTGCCGCCCTCCACCACAACCTCTCCCTCTCTCTCCCCCCCCCCCTCTCTCTCCCCCCCCCCCCTCACTCTCCCCCCCCCTCACTCTCTAACCCCCCCCACTCTCTCACCCTGGCTTGGCGCTTTCCCTCTTTCCCTTCTCTCCCCCCCCTCACACTCTCCCCCCCCTCACTCTCCCCCCCCCCTCACTCTCTCCCCTCCTCACTCTCTCCCCCTGGCTTGGCGCTTTCCCTCCTCTTTCCCTTCTCTCCCCCCCCCTCACACTCCCCCTCCCCTCACTCTCTCCCCCCCCCTCACTCTCTCCCCCTCCTCACTCTCTCCCCCTGGCTTGGCGCTTTCCCTCTGATAGTTCCCTTCCCTTCCCTTCTCTCCCCCACCCTCACCCTCTCACCCCTCACTCCCTCCCACCCTCACTCCCACCCTCCCTCCCTCCCTCCCTCTATCTCCACCACGACCTCCACTCTCCCACCATTTCCCTTTATATAGTTACAAGCTCTCATCTCCTTTATACAGCTACAAGCAGTTGTCGCCTTTATGTATACGGCAACATGTGCTATAATGGTCTGTATGTTAGGATGAAAATTATGTTCTAATGTTCTAATGTTAAGTTACATGTGGAGTCCCACAATGTCTGTGTGTGTGTACTCACCTATTTGCGCTTGCGGAGGGATGAGCTCTAGCTCTTTGGTCCCCCCTCTCAACCGTCAATCAACTGGTGTACAGATTCCTGAGCTTACTGGACTCTGAACTGCAATAAACAAATACTTAAATACCCCCCTCCTCCCCCCCCCCCACGCCAATCGTGAAGGACACCTCCGTTTCCTATGTTCCCCCGACACCCCGCTCTCTCGCTTTGTCACAACGTACAAAACCCGACATACTAACCTTACCAGAAACACACACAAGCCACCCATATCTAACCTTACCCAAACCGATGCATAGAAAACGAGGACTTTTATTTGTGAGGCGCTACTTTACGTAGCTCATTGCATTCCGTACGTTGGGGGACTTAAGAGAATCTCAAGTATTAGTTGAAAGGGATGGGTTGATTTCCTGCGCCTGGGTATGATAAAAGGCAGGTAGGGGGGGGGGGGAACTACTATACATGACCCTCCTTCCCCTCCCCCTCTCTCCCTCCCTATGCCTAAGTAGACCCTATTCCCCCCTCCCCCCCTTCCCAATGCCTATCCAGCAATTGTGTGTTGTCCAGAAGCCAACTACTCACCAAAAATACTTTTTGAAAAGGGGCTCTGTAGTGTGGATGCGAAACAATGCCTTTTTCTCCCCCTATCCCCTCCCCCCCCCTTTCCCTTCTTCATCCTCTACTAAAAAAAAATAGTAAAAAAAAAAAGGACAATTTCAAAAAGGTTGTCACGTCATGTCTGACTCTTTCGTCCCGGAACAGAATTTCGAATAGCACTTCTCCTGAATAGATATTCATGTGGCTGAAGAAAGTTGTGAATGCAGCGAGAAAAATATTGAAAAAAAAAAATATAAAAGTTGACGCGCGCTCTCTGTCTTGCGGTGTGTGGGGCTTAGTCTATCTGTCTGTCTGTCTGTGTTGTAGAACTACTTTTGACCAGAGCTTGTCTAAGGTAAGCTACGCCGACAAGAGACGTATATGTAGACGTATGTAGACGTGTATTGAGACGTATATCTGACTACGATCAGGTTGCTTGTACGACATTTCCACCAATGACGTCTTGCCACCGAGATATCTCCAAGAACATAAAACTTCGACCTGTCGCCCGAGGCCAAGTGTCACACACACACACACACACACACACACACACACACACACACACACACACACACACACACACACACACACACACACACACACACACACCTGGGAAGATCGGTACAGTACACGGTTACCGAGCTACAGAACATAGCAACCGTTGCAATGGGTCTACGGAGAGCGAATAAAATTAGAGGAGCCAGGTACTCACCTTAGAGGAGGCCATGTCCGAGACGGAGCGATGGGTCTGAATGGTCTCAAGTTGGTCCAGACACCAGTCCAACTCCTCCAGCGTCTCCAGGGCCACCTTGGTGTACGCCTCATCTGTGAGGGGGAGACAACAAGAGATTCATCTGATGATCAATGATACACATACACGTTGACCACACCACACACTAAAAGGTGAAGGGGACGACGACGTTTCGGTCCGTTCTGGACCATTTTCAAGTCGATTGAGAATGGTCCAGGACGGACCGAAACGTCGTCGTCCCTTCACCTTCTAGTGTGTGGTCTGGTCAACATACTTTAGCCACGTTATTGTGACTCCTCGCCTGCATACACATACACAACTGGCGACTCTCATTTCACAGGCGTAAATAGCATTATTGCGTAAACTATTTACCAGTTTAATGAGGTAGGGGGAGGTAGGGGGAGCCGGTCGGCCGAGCGGACAGCACACTGGACTTGTGATCCTGTGGTCCTGGGTTCGATCCCAGGCGCCGGCGAGAAACAATGGGCAGAGTTTCTTTCACCCTATGCCCCTGTTACCTAGCAGTAAAATAGGTACCTGGGTGTTAGTCAGCTGTCACGGGCTGCTTCCTGGGGGTGGAGGCCTGGTCGAGGACCGGGCCGCGGGGACACTAAAAGCCCCGAAATCATCTCAAGATAATCTCAAGATAGGGGGCACTCGTCCAGGAATATTGAACAGGGTAATTTACGGGAAGATGCCTTAACAAGTCAACTACTCGTTCACAAGATCTCCCAAACTAAGTCATCCACTTGTTAGATGATTCCACAGTCAGTCATCCATAAGTCATGCTCTCATCCACTCACATTACATAGTATCAAGACATAGCCTATCAGCCTAACTCATCCAACCCTCAAAATAATGATGATGTTTCAGATTAAGCAACTGCGAATACAAGGTTCCATGCAGCACGGGCTATGGTGAGCCCGTAACTGAGTTCGGTTATTCACGATAACCTTCTTACTGTGATATTTGGGTCAAAGTTGTAAGTGAAGGTAGAGTTTCCTCATTGTTGCATTGATTTTAGTCTTTTGTTTGAATAACGTTATCTTGGTGGCTGATATAGAGGCACACAATGTTCACTAGTGTGTTCCATCCTTCTACCAACAGTCTATCCTTCATACTATCCTTCCATCCTAAAGACCATGAGAGGATGGAATTTGACAAGACCTAATTTGAACATATTTCCTCTCTGTCTCGGAAGATTTTGAGAGCTTCATAAGTCATTTATATATATATATATATATATATATATATATATATATATATATATATATATATATATATATATATATATATATATATATATATAAACAGCGCAGGTCCCGTGACGGCGTGCTGCGGCTGTAGTGTGTGTGTGTGTGTGTGTTTGTGTGTGTGTGTGTGTGTGTTGTGTGTGTGTGTGTGTGTGTGTTGTGTGTGTGTGTGTGTGT